AAATAAATCAAAATTACAGCTATTCTTTTTGTCAGAGTGGCAAAAATAGATTTTTTTATATGCTGCAGAATTTTAATAATTAGTTTATGTGTGCCATGAGGTGAAAAAGATTGAAAATCACTGATCTAAGGTGTACATTAGATTTGAGCATGTAGCAAAGCTAGTAATGTATATTCTACCAAGAAAAATACAATTTCACATATGAGCTCTTTTTTTTAATCCTCACTGAGAACATGCTTAGAGAGAGGGGAAAAAAAACATAGAAACATTGATGTGAGAAACATTGATTGGTTGCCTTCCATACAACTTGGAATCGAACCAGCAACCTTTCAGTGCACAGGGCAATGCTCAACCAACTGAGCCACTCTGGCCAGTCTGAGCTCTATTTTAAGACCCTTCAAAGCCCCCCCCCCGCCCCCACCCAGTAATTTCTATTTTAGATTTCTGTGCTTTCAGGCACACCAATTTATTTTTCTAAGAAAAAAATGCATTCTTATGATTTAGATGTTTTTCAGGACCTTAGAGATTTCTGACAATATAATAATAAAAATAATATTGGTTGGAAGTCAGTGATGAATGCTCATAACAAGCAGCATTTCTAGTTTGTTTGTTTTTTTCATTTATGCGCAAGGAGATTTTGGACTTTTTCTCCAGGCTCTGTTTTGAAATCAATATGCTTATTAGATCTGACTTCTGTTGTCCTAATGGAATTCTTTCAAACTAGAATTGACCCAGCGTGGCTGCGCATAATGGTCTCAGCTGGAGCAGAAGGTATAGTAGGCTTTATAATTACATTTTTCTCATAGTTCCATAAATTCTCTATCAATGATTTTTTTTAATTGAGCTAAAATTTACATGGCATAATATCAATAATTTAAAAGTGAAAAGTTCAGGGGCATTTAGAACATTCACAATGTTGTGCAGTTACCACCTCTATCTAGTTCCAAACATTTACATCACTCCAAAATAAAAACCCATACCCATCCAGTAGTAACTCCCCATTTCCCCTTCTCTAGGCCCTGGCCACTGCCCATCTGCTTTCTGTTCCAAGGGATTCTTAAATGGGGTTCATTTTAAATACCGCTTCATGTTTGCTTTTAGAGCCATGGTTCTAGGCTCCCTGTTTGTGCTCACAGGTAAGTTCTAGAAGCTTATCCCCAGGACTACATGTGACTTGCATTATCTCTGGACCTAAAATTTGGGATCAAGTTTCCAGACAGTTGCTCAAATTTTGCCCCCTCTTTAGCCAGTACAGTAAAATGAATTCCAAGTATCCTGGATTTATTGCCTCTTGAGGAATTGTCCATTCTAGGCGCCTTGATAATGAGCTACAGAATTTCTTGCCAAATCATTTAAAAAAAATTTTTTTAAATAGCATCCAGTTCTATCTTTTAGCAGGAGCAGAGATGACTCATAGTTGGATGGGCCCAGAGCCCAGTTTTGAGCTGCCACCACCTCACTGCAATGCAGGAAGGCAGTGGGCTCACGAAGTCTGCAAAGTGTATCAATTTGCCTATAGGACTTAGTGTTGCCAAGGGTTTTGGAAGCTAAGAAACCTTAAGAGAAACCTGGAACGGAAGGGTGATAAAGAAGATAAAAATATTTCTATTCCCTCAAGTGAGGGGGGTTTCTCTTACACAGGAAAGGAAAGCAAGCACTGCAGAGTCAGAAAACGGAGCTTCAAATCCCAGTTTAGTTCTGTACTGTGTGATATCAGACAAGGGTCTTAACCTTGTCATTCCAAGCCTCTACTCCTTCATTTGTAAAACGGGTATACAAATACTACACTTAAAGAGTGGTTGTGAGCCCAGCCGTCATGGCTCAGTGCTTAAGGGTTCGATTCCGTCAGGACACATGCCCAAGTTGTGGGCACTGTCCCCAGTGTGAGGTGTGCAGGAGGCAGCTGATCAATGATTTTTCTCTCATCATTGATGCCTCTCTCTCTCTCTCTCTCTCTCTCTTTCTCTCTCTCTCTCCCCCTCCCTCCCTTCCTTTCTCCCTGAAGTCAATAAAAAATTTAAAAAGGAAACATCAATTAAAAAATAAAAGAGTGGTTGTGAGGTTTAAATGAGATAATTCTATGTTCACTGCCTGGTACAGTGTCTAATACATAATACCATAAGTAAGTACTGAATAAATTATAGCAGTAATTATAACTTATAAATTAATAAGTCTCAGGATACAGAGGGCCTCATTATCTAATGAATGGAAAAATCATGTTTGGATATCATTCATGTGCTTTGCAGACAGGCCTCCTCACAATCTCATAGGCTCACTTTGTTGCCCTGTTCTGTCGTGTTCTGCTGTAACAGCTCATATTGCTTGCTTTCCTTCCCTTCTCCTCCCCGCCTCATGTTTCCCTGTTACTGTAATTATTCTGACTTAATAATTGATCAATTCCATAAGATGCTTTTAATGTCTTTCTTTTATAAACGAGCTCATGACACTTAGTGGCAACTCACTGAAAATAGGAGATGGAAATTAGTCAGAGCCATAGATTATATAAATGTAATAAAAGGACTCTGGCTTGGCATAGAGAAGGATTCATTAACTAAAGTATTCTTAGAAGCAGCAGCCAATGTCTATATTGCAGACCCATGTATTGATGAGACTGTTGTTCCTTAACCGGCCCTAAAAGATGTTTTAATTCCTATACAATTCATTGTTAGTAATGACTAACAGATCTCTTTTTGCCAGAGGTACCAGTGATGCATCTTTGAGTGGCATACAAGTACCTTAGCCAGATGGATTGAGAATGATATTGTTCAGGACTCAGCAAGCTTCAACTACCAGCATCAGCTGTGAGTTGCATCCACATATCCCCTCATTTGCAGTCTCTATCCTAGAACCTGGCATGGCATTAGGACATCTCAATTTGGCATTCACAAACTCTGGACACCAGAAGTAGATAGTCCTAGGAGTCACAAGGCCCTTGATCTGTACAAAGTTTTTGTGTGTGTGTGTGTGTGTGTGTGTGTGTGTGTGTGTGTGTGTGTGTGTGTTTC